AAAGAAATGCGTTAATTTTGGATAAAAAGCTTCATCATTTAGTTTCCTTTGTCTCGCCTTTCTGTGAAATTTAACACCGATGAGTCATTGTTTACACATCTGGATGACCTTGAGAACAGCTGGTGTCGTATTTCAGGGACATTCTCATACGTCTCGGGAGGAGAAGGGTTTAAAGTAGGGTGACTAGAAACTAAACCTATATTTTTAAATATTTTTAAAAAATTAAAATTTTTATTGCGATTTCCGACCCCCCTAATTAATTAAACTTATATATAATAAAATCTATTAATTAAAAAAATTAAAAAACTATCGGAGGTCGTTTTTGACATCAGAAAGCAGCTTTAAATAACTTACCGAAGGAAAATCGGTGCACTACAATTTTAGAACGATTAATTAATTTTGATAAAAAATTCCCATTAAAAAGCAATAAAGCGTAAAGCGCGCGTCATTAAAAGTTGATTAAAATCGCTATAAAATTTTTTCGCGCGGGAAAAAAATTTTGAAAAAATTTGGGGACCTCTAAAACATTCCAAAAATCAGAAAAAAAATTTCGGGGCCGAAACGCCCGGTTTTTTGTAACGCTATGAACCTTGCTCGAGTCAGACTCAAGCGTGGGTCGGAATTAAGAATAGGAAACAATTGGGAAATTGGAATCAATCTTTCAAAAGAAATCCATAAATTATTCATTTTTATAATGATGTGTATGTTTTTATTGTGTATTACAAAATAAATGTGTAATCTTATTTCAGATAAAGTTAATATTGCAACACTACCCTAAAGAAATTATAGCTAATTTTCATTTACTCAAAGAACTATCCCATCACATGATGGGATAGTTCTCATCTAGGGTCGTTATCTTTGGAAACTGTTTAGTTGGCCAACGTGATGACTGAAGGGAGGGGGAAGGTAAATGAGATGATTCATCTCTTTTTGCCTGCTTCTTGCCATCGGCAAGCCTTGTAAATGCTTTAGTTTCATCATATTTAATACTAAATGAGGTTTGGCAAATGATTTGAACGAGCCAAACAAATATACCATTACTGTATTGTCACTGGGTAACAAATTTTTTGAATTCATTCACTTAAGTCACTAGTGTCTAGACCAACTCAGTCTTCAAAAATCATTTTTAAAACTTAAAACAGCAGTAAATTTAGTGTGAACAAGTATTTTTATTTAGAATTGCACTAATCTCATTTGAAAATTTAACTTATCACAGTATCGTCTATTAATCCATAACAACAACTTTCATAGAAAGTCATTTAATCATTATAAGTAAATATTAAAATAATTTTTACGTAATTTTCTTTACATTTTAAACTGTTTTGCCAACACTTAAATATTTTTGCCAACCATCAGCCTTGATTTTTGAAACTAGGTAGCCAATAGTTCAATTGATGTTAACTCACTTATAATTAGAATTTTAAAAAATTTTTAAAATGCAGGTAAATTTATAAAACAAAAATTAATGAAATTATTAAAAAAATAAATTTAAATTTGATTATCTTTTGTGTGAAACAAAACTAAAACAATTTTTATAGTTATGTGGCAAAAGAAAAGAGTTGCAATTAATTAAAAGAATTGTAATTAAGGGTTCAAAATGCAGGCAAAATTAAAATAATAATAATTATAAAAATTAAATTAATGCTAAATAAACCTAAAGGTTAATTAAAATTAAAACTAAAAATAACAAGCAATTATTTGTTGTGACATCATCACAATGTCAGGCTGCAATTTATTTAATTTAAAATATACACTCTCCAACTCAAAGTAGCAGTGGCTTATTCCCATATATCATACTTTTCCTTTAGCAATTGAGTCGTGTCGGTCATTTATCTAACACCTATCGGGGGGAATTTTTGAATTGAAAAAACTTGGCTTTTGGTTTGCATCGGAAGTTCTTATGTAGTTAATCAGGGCCTCTTGCTACTAAGGTCCATATCTAGTATTGTCTTTTGTCTAACTCCACTCTCAAGATTAAAGAAAGATGGATGGATGGATGGACAGACGACAGTAGGAATTTATGGGACTACAATTTTTTCAAATTGCAGCCCAAATAATTAAATTTAAAAATAATAAAATAAAAATGGCCATTATGCTGAAACTGAAATTAAAAATAAAATCAAAATTAATTAAAATTGAAATCAAATCAATTGAAAATTAAACAATTGTTTTTAAGAGCTGTTTAAAAGTTGTTTTGAAATTTTCAAATTGTAAATTGTAATTTTTTAAATTTACATCACTTGTGTGCAGCGGTGACAGAACATTTTGCTTTTAATGTCTGTACGGAACAGATACCGAATACAGATTACCAGTCAAGCCGGATCAATGCCAGCTGAATGACAACCCTAATGCCACTCTCTCTCTCCTAAAATGGGGCAATTATTACCAACCAACGGGTGGAGAGTCGGGAGTCAAATCTTTTTGTGGGAATCTGAGTCGATTTTAAAATACTGATTTGGGAGTCTGGTATTTTTCTGCCAACTTCCCATCCCTGCCAACCCTCCTCTAGATATATTCTCTTCCCCTTTCACTCTCACATATAATACATGCCAGACAATCGTTACTGCTACAAGGCTTTGGATTCCAGTCTATATTGTCTCTTCAATGTAGACTTTGTTTGACCAGATATATTGGAATCATTGTGGGTCTGGCCAAACCCACAATGAGCATGAAAAGAAATATCTTAGGGTTTTCAAGACAAACAAAAAATGTAAGACTAAATTTTGTCATAAAAAAAAAATATAGATTCCTTATTGAATTTGTTTGTATATAAACTGAATGGCTGAAATTATTAATAAACAGAAAACATTTAAAATATAAAACTTATTATTTATATTGTATGTCCTTCTGTAAAAATCCAGATACAATTTAATCTATATATTTTGATAATATGCTGAATATTTTAATTAGCTAAAGTACTAAAATGCACTAATTCTGCACCAAATAAAACAGTCATCGACCGACTATATATATATATACAAGAATCAGAGTTGTTGATTTTCAGGGGTCAGTTTCGCTGCCTCCAAACACCCAAAGTAATTCCAAATATCTTGTTCGAAAGAAAATTGTTTTCTTAGGTAGTGTGCAAAATTTCAAGATTTTCTTTAAAGTGGTTGCTAAAATACAATCAATTGAAAAGGTCAAAAATTGCCAAAAAGCTGTATTTTCTTCTTCACTTTCTTTGTCTGGAACTGCAGATGCTCATAGAGAAAAACTACCAGGTCTAAAGAGCTCAAATTTTAACCTTAAGCCTTTCTGTTTGTCAGTGAGATGCTGGCCAAATTTCCAGGTCGATAGGTCAGAGTTCGTGTGGGTTTCCCATAGAGCTAATTCGGTTTTACGGTTTAATTTTATGCTTATAAAGATAAAATTGCATGGAAATGAATAAATTTTATTCAAAATGTTACTTGGAATTACAAAAGCTCATTTATGACAAAAGTTTTTATAACAATTTTTCTAAATGGCATATTGAAATGTCGATCGACACCAACCAAATTGTACGTCATCGTCTTGTCTTGACGTAATAATACACTTATTAATTAAACAGCATCTGAGATGTAAAAAAATTATGGCAATTTAGATGACGGTCAGAATATTTCTTAGCAGTTTTTCTTTGGTAAAGACAAGTTTGGCACTCAGAAGTGGTACCCACAAGGTTTTTACCCTGTTATTGTTTCCTACATTTCACTTCAAAGAGCCAAACTTATCTTTTACCAAAGAAAAACTTCCAAGAAAAATTTTAATTGTTTAAATTGTCATAGATTTTTACACTGAGCAATTTTTTTACATTCCAGATGTATTTGTTGGATTACATTTACATGAATAGATCATCTGGATAATAGAGAGGTTGAGGCGCACGTTTTAAACGTGTAAACGTGTACGTGTGACGTTTGGCGCCGCTTTCCCGTAAGCCTAAAAGTTTGACGATGATGTTTGGAATGTCGAGCGTGATTCTACCGACTATCCAAACACCATTGTCAAACTTTTAGGCTTACGGGAAAGCGGCGCCGAACGTCACACGTACACGTTTACACGTTTAAAACATGCGCCTCAACTTCTCTATTATAATCAAAGTTATTAATATTTGTATTTAATAATCTTTAAAAATTTACAATTCTATAGTTTGTGTGTACATTTTGTTAATTAAAATCTGTGTGATTCAAAATGCTACATTTTAATAGCTGTGATTTGATAGGTATACTAAAAATATATTTGGTAATATTGTACTTATGAATTTTATTTATATTTTATATTGGTATAGAAGTATGTATATTAGTTTTTTAAGGAACTAAAATCCATGCTTTCATACTAATCTTGTTTGATTTATTTATGTGCCAGTTGATTTAATTCATTTCCATTTTAAAGAAGTTAATCAAATGACTGGTGTATATATTGGGTTGGCCAGAAAGTCTATTGGCTTTTTGTGATAGTCATCTTTGGGAATTCTGAAACTTAACTTCAATTCAAACTTAAAAGTGCATGATTATTTGATACCTAATGTTTAACCATACATTTTAACCAAAAAGTTTGAAGATTGAGTTTGTTTTATAATTTTGACAAAGTTTTAAAGATGGCCTTTCAAAAAAAGCTTTTCTGGCAAATTATACAGTTTTATTTCCAAAATGGGAAAAACACGGTGCAAAAACGTTTTGCCGAATGTCGTCAAAGAACGTGTGCATTCCGGTAGCAGTTTGCAAAATTTTGTTTTGCAGATTTGCACCAAGATACGTGCCATCCGGTCGACCACAAGAGATTTGCGACGACCGAGCGGAGATTTAATCAACTACGGTCTTCTTTACGTGACGTGGGGAAATTGCATTATTGAATAAAGACACGATCTCCTGTTTAAAAAAAAATTTATTTGCATGTTAAAAATCTCACAAACTTTTTGGTCGACCCAATATAATTAACTTCTAAAGTGTTTTATAAATTTAATTTTTATTGTGTTTCAAATACACAGGTTTTGAAAATAGTAATTTTTAAAATTTATTCTAAATTAGTTTAAATTTCTCCTCTTCAAGAATTCGTGTAAATCATACTGGAAATATAGAGATTGTAAATGAGTTAGAAGAAGAAGAACAGATATTTGAAGAAGGTGATCAAACTGATGGAACTGTTAGAAGTTCTCATAATCCATGGGCATTGCGTTGTCACAGAAAGCAATTTAAGAAGTTGAAAGCAAATTCATCTTCTATTGCTTTTTCTAATCATGGTAGGAAATTTTTGAATATTATATCAACTATTTCTTAGTATACTTATATAAATCTTTAAGATAATTGATGATTTAATTTGATAACAAAAAAGTATATGAATTTGTGATAAATTAACAATTCGTATTTTTAAAAAATGGCTAGGATGACAATTTGTAAAAAATTCACAAGATTTAAAAACACTGTAAAGTTTTTTAAGGGAAATTTTTAACTGTATAATTTTGTTTAGTGCCATTGCTGAGGGTTATTTTTTTTAAAGTTCTGCACATCGAAGAAAACAAGTGGCCTTCATGAAAAGATCGACTCTGCCGTAGAACTGTTAAATTAAAAATTATTATTAAAAAATTAAATTAAAAAAAATTAAAATGTATAACTGTTAGAGGTGTTCAACAAAGACGAGATGTAAAGACACGTTTCAAAATTTGGAGGAATACTATACTATTCGATCGGTATTGGGTTGAGCGTCGATGTTGACATCTTCCGCACTCCAAAAGGTTTCAAATTGTTATCTAAAGACAAGGGAAAATCAATTGGTATTCGTTATTTTCCATCACTTCTTTTTATGTTTGTTCAGTAAAGTGTTCGTTGTCCGATCATAAAAATGTTTTGTGAAAGTGTTTGTTATCCGAACTGTTCGTTAGCTGATCACCCACTGTATTTTGATAGAGCTGGCGAGAATACATAAAAAGATAAAATCTTCAATAAAACGAAGAATTTAAAATCCCACAGGTATTTATGAGTCTGAATAAGCTCAATCAATCTCTATTCTGTAAAAGTATAAATCCTGTAACTAGCTGCCTTGAGGATGAACTATTTTCAATGTTGTCACTGAATGACATGGCACAAAGGCATTTGCTGATTGAATGTGCATTTGCTATCAGCACGAGTAGAACAAACTTTTTGTTTCTAGTCGCAATTGCAGTTGCACCAGTTTTCAAAGAGGGTTTACTAGTTAACGGGAACAGCCATCACAGTTGCAGTTGCCTGCTCAGCTGGAAGTAGCATGGTGTGACTAGGGCTTAAGACACGGTGATTACTACACTATCTGGCCAAAAGTATCCAGACACCGCCTAAAGAAGTGGATCTGGCAGGTGACAGTCTTTGATGCGTAACCAAAAGGTATAAAAATGTTGGTAGTGGTTTGTCAGGCCATATTTATGCATTTGTGTGACAATGAGTAAGTCAAAGGAGATAAGGACTGACCGTGGCCTTATAGTGGGATGCCACCTTTGTGGGAAATCAGTTCATGAAATTTCGGACATTCTATAGAAGCCAAAATCCACTGTGAGCGATGTAATTGTGAAGTGGAAACGTCAAGGCAGTGAAAGTGGAAAAAGATGACGTGGCAGGCTGAACAAAATTAATGAATGCAGCCATAGAACTCTGAAAAGGGTAGTGAAACAAAATCACACGTCCTCGTTGGTTGAAATCACTCAGGAGTTCCAAAGGTCATCAGGCGTTAGTGTTAGCACCAGGACTGTTTGTCGAGAGTTAAAAAACCTGGGATTCCATGGTCGTGCAGCTGCTCACAAGCTGAACATCACTCCCCAGAATGTGAAACGTCGATTGCAATGGTGCAAAGCTCACCGTCATTGGACTGTGGACATGTGGAAAAGTGTCCTTTGGAGTGATGAATCTCTCTTTACAATCTGGCAGTCTGATGGACATGTCTGGGTTTTGTGGATGCCCGGCAAGCGCTTCTTACATGACTGCATTGTGCCGACTGTAAAGTTTGGTGGTTGCAGCATCATGGTGTGGGGGTGTTTTTCATGGTTTGGCCTGGGTCCCTTAGTTCCTGTGGTTGGAAACATAGATGTATGTGCATATTCTGGACAATGCTGCTCTCCCAACTCTATGGCAATATTTCGGGGAAGGCCCATTTCTCTTCCCGCAGGATAACTGCTCCATTCACACATCAAGACTTATGCAGGCATGGTTTGATGAAATGGGTGTTCAAAAACTGGACTGGCCTTCTCAGAGCCCCGATCGAAATCCCATAGAACACCTTTGGGACAAATTAGGATGCAGAATATGTAGCCAGCCACATTGACCATCCTCATTGCCAGCACTCACTTCAGCTGTGATGGACACCTGGAAGTCAATTCTGATGGCCACCTATCAAAAACTAGTGGAAAGTCTCCCCACACGTGTGCAGACTGTCATCGATGCAAAAGGAGGACCAATATCATATTAATATATGCCTCAGGACTCTCCAAGTCCGTATCACTGGATATCCGGATACTTTTGGCCAGATAGTGTATTTTTATTTATTATTTTTTTGACAAAAATTTTATCTTACATGCTGTAAAATATGCATTAAAAAGTTATTGAAG